CCACCCTTCTCTTTCTTGCCTTATTTTTGTTGCCTGGTCGTAGAATTCAAGTAACCCTGTGAGGCAGGACCTGCCATCCCTGAATCCATGTTGATGCTGTGTTACAAAGTTCTTTCGCTCCAGGTGCTCCACTAGCTTTCTTCTCACAATCTTCTCCATCAGCTTGCATGGTATGCAGGTTAGGGACACTGGTCGGTAATTCAGTGCCTCCTGTCTATCCCCTTTCTTGTATATCGGGACTACGTTAGCTGCTTTCCAAATTTCTGGCAGTTCCCCTGTTGCCAGTGATTTGTTATACACCATGGAGAGCGGGAGGCACAGTTCTTCTGCTCCTTCCTTTAGTATCCAAGGGGAGATTCCATCTGGGCCTATAGCCTTTGTCACATCCAATTCTAGTAAACACTTCCTTACTTCCCCGCTGGTAATCTCAAACTCTTCCAGTTGTTCCTGGTTAGCTATTCCCTCTCTTATCTCTGGGATTTCTCCTTGCTCTAAGGTGACGACCTCTTGGAATTTCTTATTCAGTTCCTCACACACTTCCTTGTCGTTTGTAGTGAATCCTTCTGCCCCTAACCTTAGTTTCATAACCTGTTCCTTTACTGTTGTTTTTCTCCTGATGTGGCTATGCAGCAATTTAGGCTGAGTCTTTGCCTTGCTTGCGATGTGTGTGTGTGTGTGTGTGTGTGTGTGTGTGTGTGTGTGTGTGTGTGTGTGTGTGTGTGTGTGTGTGTGTGTGTGTGTGTGTGTGTGTGTGTGTGTGTGTGTGTGTGTGTGTGTGTGTGTGTGTGTGTTTACTAGTTGTGTTTTGCGGGGGTTGAGCTTTGCTCTTTCGGCCCGCCTCTCAACTGTCAATCAACTGTTTACTAACTACTTTATTTTTTTTTTCCAAGTGAGTGTGTGTGTGTGTGTGTGTGTGTGTGTGTGTGTGTGTGTGTGTGTGTACATACGTGCCAAACTATTTCTGTCCTCCAGGGTTTCAAACACGGAATTCTCTATTGTTGGTCGAGAATGAGCACAACAGTACTTGCGGGACCCTTTGGAACCATTACAACAATATATGAAAAACAAATATAACAAAACCCAAATGAACACAAATATTTTCAAATTAATGAAATACAATAAAGAAAGGAGAATAAACTTAACAAGAACATTTTTTCCTTGCCTAATATTTATTTAGACAAACAACGAGATAGTCAGTTTAGTACCGTTAGGCTTGGTTTACTTAATTTTCGAAAAGGCTTTTTCATATCTTCTGTTAACTATTATTAACAGATATACCTAAACAAAAATTCTTCTAAGATTTAGAGATAAATTTAAATTCTTCTGTACTAAGAGATAATTTTTTGAAGGCATCCAAAGAACTTATTTTGAAGGTTTAGATATAGGAATTAGGTTACTATTAGAAAATCATTATACTTTACAGATAATGGCTTTAAAGTTGTGACATTTTTTTAAGCAGCTGGCATTACAGTTAAACAAAAGGAAATGGTACACTGTGTTATAGACCAGAATGTAATGTGCGCACCATGTGAAGCACACATCGTACTCCTCATTCTCATGTACAAAATTCCTTATTTAATTCACATGATTTTGTAATTCGAAATTGTACGCTCATAATGTACGTCTTGCAACGAACTCTTATGTACCCTCTGCTCTCTGTCTCAAATTGAGATGTTAGTTACCGGTTCGTTGTTCACCGTTGTTTCTTACAGTAACATTTTGCAACAGCCACCCTTAATTGTACTTACTTCATGTTCGACCAACAAGTGCCACCAGTACAAGACACTGCTACAGTTACAAGACACCAGTTACAAGTACTACAACCTTTACTATATCCAAGTTTATCCAAAGGAATCTTCACACTGCCACCACCTTCCCTTAATGATCTGTGTAATTAAACTAATTGACTGTGAGAAGGGCCGATTGATAAAGATTAAGCTACCCAAGAGGTGGCACTAGCATGACTAGCCCGTAAAAGAAGGGCCAATCAATATCTGGAGAAATATCAAGAATCTGTATTCCCACTTATTAAAAGGGAGTGAATTAATTTATTTTATATGGCGGCTTAAATCAAACAAGGGAGAATATGTTAATCTATAAGGGTGTTTGTAAGACCATGTAAAGATCACTACACAATAAATCAGGATTTTGGAAGTCAGAAATAAAATTGAGGGGAATTTGGGATAAACACAAGTTAAATCAACATTTTGTCTATTCACACAAATATATATAATGCACTCTCCTAACTAAGATTCCTATCCCTGAAAGCAATGAATATAAATTAATTCTCCAGAGATGCAAAACTTAATCACAGTACTTTACCTTCTATCTGTTTACTTGACCAATATTGTCTGGCCTGTCGGTGTGTGAGGCCCTGCCACCTCTCATTACTGCCGCCAATCACACTAACAAAAAAACGTGCACATCTCGAAGTGAAACCGACCTTAGCTGGTTGCCAAAACTTGTTGCAATAGTTAATTAACAAAGTTAACTCATATGCTTTTGTAGCGAGTAGATTATCCCAATAATATACTCGCTCCAAATGCATTGTTAATATTCCTGTCAACCTTTGGAGATGAATGAGGTGAGGCGTTGCCCGGGCAACACGGTGAGGTGTTGCCCGAGCATATAAGCAGCAGAATAGCAAACATTAACCAGAGTCTACTTTCAAGTGTGGTCTAGAGCAGACACTTGCGAGATACTGTACCGACGCTCAGTGTGTTCAACTCACACCAAAGTATCACCTGTGTACTTCTGTATATTAGACCAAATATATATATAGTATCTTAGTGTCTGTGTTTATTGTCACCATACTTTACGTAACAATAGAACCGTTACATTGGTGACCCCAGAGAGTTTCGACGATACCCAGCCACGATGGACTACAACATGGACTCTCACTGGACCTCTACTGCTGCTGCTTGCTGTGGACCGCAGCCACCTGTCGTGGAACGTTGCCAACACCCTTGCCACAGCTATGATTTTCATCGCGATCATCTCTGCATTTTCATCTACTACGGCTTGCTGCTCCACGATCACTACTCACTCATCTGGCAGCTTCATCAGTAACTACATAATGTGGGATCTACAGCCTGTCCTGCCGACTCTCCGTCGCTGCCAGGGCACTGCTTGTTCTACAGGGGCGCCCACGAAAGCTGCTCTTTCGTCAGATTCATCTACACGTTCACTGCATTCTGATACTCTGCCGACTCAAGCACTTTGCGCAGTACAGGACTTACAGCTTGCGTTTCCGACTCTTCGTCGCCTCCAGGACAATTCAGCTCTAGCAGTGATTCCCTCGTTGTCCTAACTACGTGCCTACATTACCTCCTATTGTCCTGGTGCCCGAGCCCATCCGCCCCGGATCTAAATGCTCCACCAGCGACCCAAGGACGCAACAATTATGCACATTCTTCTCTCCTGCTACACCGAGCTTGTCCACACACTGCCTACATCTTTTGGTACCAGTCTACAATTGCCACAGTCAACAATGTAGTACTCGGCGTGTACAGTCCTAATCAACCCAAGACGCTACAGCTTCGACACAGAGCAGACAGCAGACTACGACCGCATCGAGCCGCCACGCTCTCGCTCCCCGAGTTCAGACACTCACAATTCTCAATCGAGCTGCCACGCTCTCCCACATAGAGCTCCACGACTCCGGCCTCACTCAGCTCTCTGCTCTGCTCCAGGCTTCGTCTCAACGTCTGCGACACTGCTAAATCCAGAGACACATCCGCCGACTACGCAGTTCACTTTTTTCGACCACAGTTACCAGCAGCACCGCCACCTACGACAACGGACGATCCTGTACGACCTCCCACCCTACAACCCCAGTTACCAGCCGCACCACAACCTGATCCTACGACGACGGACGATCCTGTGCGACCTCCCACCCTACGACCCCAGTTAGATGACATCAGCGAAGAGGAGGAAGTTAACTTTGATGGTTATGTAACGCGAGCAGGGCGTACAATTCACCGACCAGCTAAGTTCCTTGATCAAGTATTTTTCCTTTCATCCCCTGGGAGGGGGAGTTCTGTAGCGAGTAGATTATCCCAATAATATACTCGCTCCAAATGCATTGTTAATATTCCTGTCAACCTTTGGAGATGAATGAGGTGAGGCGTTGCCCGGGCAACACGGTGAGGTGTTGCCCGAGCATATAAGCAGCAGAATAGCAAACATTAACCAGAGTCTACTTTCAAGTGTGGTCTAGAGCAGACACTTGCGAGATACTGTACCGACGCTCAGTGTGTTCAACTCACACTAAAGTATCACCTGTGTACTTCTGTATATTAGACCAAATATATATAAAGTATCTTAGTGTCTGTGTTTATTGTCACCATACTTTACGTAACAATAGAAACGTTACACTTTATTCCAATTAAATTGACTGAATCTTTACGCTGAAATGATGTTAAATACAAAGTCAAGTAAATCATAATACGTTGTTTAGTAAAATGTTGAATAGTGACATGAATTGCTCTAAATTAAGGAATTAAGAAGCAAGGGAGGCTGTGACAATCTGGCACCGTTTGGTCTTATCCCAAGATGACTCATTACTCAACTGTCAAATCAACAAGTACCCATACTAGGAAATCCTTAACACAGGAGGGTGACCAACATAATTTTATAAAACTCTTTACTACTCATTTTTAAATAACTTACCGAGAGGTCTCAAAAGCTATTCTATTAAAGTACAGTCCATGGAAGGGTTTTCACAGGCCATCTCAGTGATGTATCATAATTGCATACTCACATAAGCGCTTATCCTTTTGAAAGGATTACCGTCGACCTTTCCTTTGCCTCCCAGGTAGAAAGTTCCCTCTGGCTCCTAACTAGAGTGCACCCATGATATACCATACTATTTACATTTCATACCAGCCTACATCATATCTTAAAAACAGCTTAAACTGTTACATATTAATAAGATGAGTGTGTATACATATATATAAGGAATTAGAAAATACATATATATCATCACCTCCTTCCTGCAGGAAAGTTGTGGGTGGCGCTGCTAGTGAGCGTGGTGGTGTGGGGCGCGACCCTGTGGCTGCTGCAGAGGGCGTGGCAGTGGGTGGCTGGAGGGCGTCGGGTGGAACTCATCACAACCTTCCTATACTCCTGGGGCGCCCTCCTGCAGAACTTGCCCTCAGAACCCTCCGTCAACTTCTCTGGCAGGGTAGGACCAAAAGTCTCAATAACATACAGAAGGGCAAGTCACAGGCACTGAATAGCTGTGACTGAAATACTGCACGTATGAACTTGCCTGTTCATTACAGGCAGTTCTTGGGTGAGATGTGTAATAGGCGGTTGTTGATGTTTCCCATAGCTGCTATTGCAGTTTCATTAATAAAGTTGAATGCGAGCATAAGAAGTGTTTTTCCTTTTATCAACTTTATCGAGTATTCAAGCACGCACGCACACACACACACACACACACACACACACACACACACACACACACACACACACACACACACACACACACACACACACACACACACACACACACACACACACACACACACACACAGACACACACACACACACACACACACACACACACACACACACACACACACACACACACACACACACACACACACACACACACACACACACACACACACACACACACACACACACACACACACACACACACACACACACACACACACACACACACACACATACACAGAACCGGCTGAGCGTGGGGCCGGCCGGCCAAGCAGAGAGCACGCTGGACATGTGATCCTGTAGTCCCGGGTTCGATTCCGGGCGTCGGCGAGAAACATTGGGCAGAGTTTCTTTCACCCTATGGCCCTATTACCTAGCAGTAAATATTTACCTGGGAGTTAGTCAGCTGTCACGGGCTGCTTCCTGGTGTGTGTGTGTGTGTGTGATGTAGGGTAAAAAAATAGAAGTAGTAGTTAGAAACAGTTGATTGACAGTTGAGAGGTGGGCCGAATGAACATAGCTCAACCCCTGCAAGCACAACTAGGTGAATACACTCAGGGGTAAATATGGAGAGGGCACATCAGAATATTGAAAAGGTTTTCAGGCTCGGACAGTACTACAAGGACAGATACTGATTGATAGAGGTAGTATTCACGAGCAAGAACACAAAATAGAACATGTTAGCAAGGAAGAGCAGACTTGCAAATGAACTGAAGGTTAAAAAAGTATTCCTGCAGAGGTATATGAAAAGTGACGAGAGAATAAGGGCAGGAGACACTAGGAGGGAGCGCAGGGAGAGAGAAAGGAATCAGGGAACTACAACCCTGAACCCCACAATCCCAGAGAGAAGTGGAGAACCCCTCCGCAAGCAGTTCGACAGCCACAGTGAGAGAAGCACCACCCCTCCCTTCCACCCAATATATGTCCTGCCTGCCCCATCTCATGCCAGTCCCCACTAGGTGCCCACCTAGGGCACCCTCCCCCACGACCCCCCTCCCCAGGGCCTTCCTTCTCCCCCACACCCCCAAGCCCTCACTTCTCCCCAATGTCCTCCCTTTTCCCCAACCCACAAGCCCTCCATTATCCACCCCCCCACCTAAGCCCTCCCTTCTCCCAAATCCACAAGGCCCCTTCATTCTCACTCTCCTCAGCCCTCCCTTTCTTCCCTCCCCCATCTCCCACCCCCAAGCCCTTCCACCTCTTCAGTCCCACCCAAGCCCCCCCCCCTCCTTCTCCCCCCCTTCCTCCCCAAGCTCTTTCCTCCCGTACCCCCCCCCAAATCTCCCCTTCTCCAACACTTCCCCAAACCTCCACCTCATCCCCCCCCCCTTATGTTGGAGATAAGAAAATTCCTAACAGATATAACATGGGAAATAGAGCCCAGGGAAAAGACGGCCCAAGACATGATGCACTACATCATACAGTAGTGTAAGGAGGCAGCAGACAAATTTGTCCTGGTCCAAAAAGATAACAATGATATGAAGATGAGAAACCCATGGTTTAATCAGAGATGTAGGCTAGCTAAGCAGAAAAGTAAAAGGGCGTGGAGAAACTATAGAAATAACATAACAGGACACTTGAGAGCAGAGAAAGATACCAGAGTACCTGGAATGAATATTTCATGTTGAGAAGAGAGGAAGAAGGGCAATACGAAAATGACATCGCAAGCAAGGCAAAGGCTCAGCCTATATTGCTGCAGAGCCACATCAGGAGATAAAAACGGTAAAGGAACAGGTAATGAAATTGTTGATAGGGACATACAGATTCACTACAAACAACAAGGAAGTGTGCAAGGAACTGAATAAGAAATTCCAGGTCTTCACATTAGAACAAGGAGAAGTTCCAGAGATAAGAGAGGGAATAGTTAACCAGGAAACACTAGAAGAGTTTGATACCAATGGGGAAGTAAGGAAGCTTTTGATAGAGTTGGATGTGACAAAGTCTGTAAGCCCAGATGGAATCTTCCTATAGATACTGAAGGAAGGAGCGGAAGCACTGTGCCTGCCACTCTTCATAGTGTATAACAAATCACTGTTAACAGGGGAATTGAAGGGAATTATCAGGGGAAAGTGCCATGCCATTATGACTATACCACTCGGAGAGGGTCAGGATAAGGATTTGGGATGGGATGGGGAGAAGGAAACCAGAGAACTGCCAAGAATTTGGTTGGGGGCTAATGTAGTCCCTATATACAAGAAGGGGGATAGACAGGAGGCACTGAACTACAGGCCAGTGTCCCTAACTTACACCATGCAAGCTGATGGAGAAGATTGTACAAAAAACATCTGGAGCGAAAGAACTTTGTAACAAAGCATCAACATAGGTTCAGGGATGGCAAGTCTTTCCTCAAAGGATTAATTGAATTCTACGACCAGGCAACAAAGAGAGGAGTGGGCAGACTGTATATTTTTTATTGCCAGAAAGCCTGTAATGCAGTACCACACAAGAGGCTAGCTAGAAAAACTGGAGATGCAGGCAGGAGTGAAAGGGAAGGTACCCCATTGGATAAGGGAGTACCTAAGCACCAGAAGACAGCAAGTCACTGTGAGGGGTAAGGTCTCAGATTGACGAGACGTCACCAGTGGAGTCCCGCAGGGTTCAGTCCTTGGACCTATACTGTTTCTGATATATGTGAATGATCTCCCAGAGGGTATAGACCCGTTCCTCTCATTGTTTGCTGATGATGCAAAAATTATGAGGAGGATTAAAACAGAGGCAGATTGTAGGAGGATAGAAGATGAACTTGACAGATTGAATGAATGGTCCGACAAATGGCTACTAAAGTTCAACCCAAGTAAATGCAAGGTAATGAAGCTAGGGGGTGGAAACAGAAAGTCAGACACAGGATACCGAATAGGAGATGAAGTACTTCATGAAATGGACAGAGAGAGAAAGATCTTGGAGATGATATCACACAAAATCTGTCTCCTGAAGCCGACATAAAGAGAATTACATCTGTGGTATATGCGAGGCTGGCTAACATCAGAACAGCCTTCAAGAACCTGTGTAAGGAATCATTAAGAACCTTGTATACCACATATGTAAGACCGATCCTGGAGTATGCGGCCCTAGCATAGAGCCCGTACCTTGTCAAGCACAAGACGAAGCTGGAAAAAGTTCAACGGTATGACACAAGGCTAGTCCCAGAATATGAGGCATGAGTTACGAGAAAAGTCTGCGTGAAATGCACCTTACGACACTGGAAGACAGAATTGTAAGGAGAGATATGATCACCACCTACAAAATTCTCAGAGGAATTGACAGGGTAGATAAGGATAAACTGTTTAACACGAGTGGTACGCGAACAAGGGGGCGCAGGTGGAAACTGAGTACCCAAATGAACCACAGGGACGTTAAAAAGATCTTTTCGGTGTCAGAGTAGTTAACAAGTGGAATGCATTCGGCAATGATGTGGTGGAGGCTGACTCCATACACAGTTTTAATTGTAGATATGATAGAGCCCAATAGGCTCAGGAATCTGTACATCAGTTGATTGACAGTTGAGAGGCGGGACCAAAGAGCCAGAGGTCAACACCCGCAAGCACAACAAGGTAAATACAACTAGGTGAGTACACACATACATACAGACATACACATATCATATTATAAAGGGGGCGTGATAGCTGAGTAAACAGCGCTCTATACTCGTAATCCTACGGTCCGAGTTCGATCTAGACTGATGGCAGAAACAAAAAGGGTAGCTCCTTTCACCCTAATTCCCCTGTTACCTAGCAGTAAATTGGTACTTGGGAGTTAGACAGTTGTTATGGGCTGCTTCCTGTGTGTGTGTGTGTGTACTCACCTAATTATACTCACCTAATTGTGCTTTCGGGGGTTGAGCGTGTGTGTGTGTGTGTGTACTCACCTAGTTGCACTCACCTAGTTGTGCTTGCGGGGGTTGAGCTCTGGCTCTTTGGTCCCGAGGTGAGTTCTCCCACATATTGCAGGTGGCTCTTCCTTGCTAGAATCTTCTCCTTTGTGGCCTCGTTTGCAAACACAATCTTTAACACACGGTCTCTGCCCTTGTTGTACCAGCCCATCCTGAAAACCTTCTCAATTCTATGTTCTGTCCCTTCCATCTCTAGCCTCCTTAGTATTTCATTCGCTGCTGCTCTGTCCTTATCATTCCATTCTGTCCTATTAGAGCCTTCCTGCTCTTTAATACCCAAAGCTATCACTGATCTTTTTCTTTCCAGCAGCTAACTAGTGGCCTTTGCTGCTTCCTGTGAGGTGGCTGCTTTCATGGCTACCTCCCTCACTGTGGACATTAATTCCTTGTTCTTTTTTAGGATTTCCGCAAATGTTGTTTGTACTATGGCAGTCCCTTTCATCGTACCATTTTCATCTTCTCTTTGGATGATTATCTGAGCCTCCATCTCGGTATTATTCTCTTTAAGTATTTTAATCTCCTCTTTTGCTGCTGTCAGCTTGCTTTGCAGGTTGCTTATTGTATTTTTCATTTCCTACATCTCCCTTCTGTTATCCTCCAAAGCCTGGGCAAACACTTCCATCATTTGGTCACATTAACTTTTTCCCTGTTCTCTTAGAAGTCCCCACTGCCATGTTTGTCCCTGTTCTTACTATATCTTGATAGGGTTTGCCAGGAGGGGGGCAGAGAGAGAGAGAGAGAGAGAGAGGAGAGAGAGAGAGAGAGAGAGAAGAGAGAGAGAGAGAGAGAGAGAGAGAGATGGGAGAGCAGGAGGGAGAGAGAGAGAGAGAGAG